GAACAGTTAATTCCTAGCCTATCTTTGAGACATTTTTATAGATTTATTTTTTATTCTCATAAAGGAGTCCATGAAATTAATTCATATTAGTGTCTTTATTGGTAAGTTGGAAAGTGACAAGATTTATTTACACAATTCTACATAACCTATGTATAATGAAATTTTAGTTGCTGAAATTTGTTATGACAGTAAGTAAAGGCTTTTATAAATGCTAATAATGAGCTATATGAAAAAATACTGATGTGATATTTTGAAATAGTGTCTAAGATTCTTTCACTGAAGTGTATTTGTCCTTTGTAATAGCTCTATTTTATGGACTTTCATACAGTAATTTTTTAATTACTATGTATACTTACTGCATATAAAACTTTGACGAGTTATTTATATATGAAAGGTAATGTAGAATTGTGTTTTAAACCTTGTTTTCTATTCACTTAGACTGAATTTGAAAATGGACCTAACTCTAAGATGACTTGAGAACTAAGTAGAAAGCTTAAGCCAAAGCAAGGTGAAGCCTAGAAGTAGCCCCCCTTTGTCCTCTTTATTTTTCAGTACATTGTTAGCCTTATGTGGGACAGATACTGCTGTCTTACTGAAGTATATTTTCTTACAGTTCATTAAATTCTCAAATTATTATTTCATCGATTTCCCTAAATTATTATTAACAGTAGGTTGTAAGAAAATCTGTAGTATAAAATTTCCCAATTTCACAGTTTACTCTTTATTTTCAAGAATAGAAAGGGGGAAAGCCAAGTTGCATGAAAAAGATACTTAGCATAAATTGGTAGCTTGGAGTCTGTAGAAATGTAGTGGTTGGTTAATGGTCATGACCAAGTGGTTTACTTATTAAATCTTAATTAAGCTGAATAGAAAACTATAGGAAGAGATGTAGATGTCCAGTTGGTACTGATCAGTGTCAAAATTATGTTTAATGAATTGATGTTTGCATTTTCTGATTTCTTTTTCTTTATTAGACAACTGTAAAAACTCATTCAAAATTTTGCTATCCTAATCCATTTTCCTCCCTTTTCCTAGCATGATTATGATATGAGGGTAGATGATTTTCTTCGCCGCACACAAGCTGTTGTCAGTGGTCGGAGAAGTAGGCCCCGGGAAAGAGATCGGGAACGAGAGCGAGACCGTCCAAGAGATAACAGAAGAGACAGGGAGCGAGACAGAGGTCGTGATCGAGAAAGAGAGAGAGAGAGAATATGTGATCGGGACAGAGACCGAGGGGAAAGAGGTCGTTATCGAAGATAATGTGCTTTTGGAAGCACTGATTGAAGATAAAAATACTGTATTTTTTTGTGTGTGTTTACAAGTAGTAAATTTATTTTCAGCTGTCTACTTAAAGTTCATTGTGTAGAAGGATTTATTATCACTCTCTTTGTTCCAAGCATGCAGTATAATAAGAACTGGAAAAACTCAAATCCGCCAAAAATGCACAGTTGACAGTTGACGCTTTTCGTTGAGGCAGAATGGAACAGTCCAGGAATGTAGATATTGATTCATTCTCCATAAATGTTCATTTTTCAGTATGTTCATCTTAGTTATTGTTTGGTTTTCTTTTGGATCTTGATCAATAACTGCCATGTCACTTTGCTTTGATGTGTCTCTACATGTAGTTGCACAC